GTAGGGCCGAAAAACAATATTTAAGTCCTGGGCTGCCCACCACCTACAAGGGTTCTTTTGGGAGGTGACACGTCGCCCTGCTCCCGAGGACGTAGGCAAATTGCCGAATTTCATTAAATCTGTATGTTTTCTTCTTGATTTCTATAATTCTTGCTCTTTCTTTGCCTTAATCCCTCAACAATACCAGATGAATGATCAAATTATAATGAATTTTCATGAAATATAATGTACAAAGATTTGAACTAAATGATTTATATTACTCGTTGGCTACATTCAAAGCTGGATTGGATCTTGCTCAATAGATAAAGAACTAAGAAGCACAAAGCTAGAAGGGAAAAAACCAGTTCAACGTGACACATCCGCCTACAAAACTGATCACCATTCCAAGGAAGAGATTAAAATTAATTTAAAAGTAATCCAATTGTTCATACCTTGAAGAGATGTGCTCCAGTGCGAGCATCGACAGCACTGAAAGGGTCATCCAGCAAATAAACATCTGATTTGCTGTATATAGCTCTTGCCATCTGAATTCTTTGCTTCTGGCCTCCGCTCAGGTTCATGCCCCTCTCCCCCACAACAGTCATGTCCCCATCTGCCCATAATTTAATGTCACTATCCAATGCGCACCCTTCAATCACTTCTTCATACCATGCCCTTTCCATCTCCTTTCCAAACAGAACATTCTGTATGATTGTTCCTGTTTGAATCCAAGCACTCTGAGGTACATATGCTCTCGAGCCAAAAACCTTCGTGCCTACACCTGAAAGCTTTGGGATTTCTCCTATTAAACTACTGAGGAAGCTAGATTTCCCTGATCCAACTGATCCACACACGGCTATCTTTTCTCCTCTCATTATCTTGAGGTTTTTATCAACTTCAACAGTTGGTTTTCCCGTGCTCAAGTCCTGTTGCCAACTGTACTCCCCGGGTTCAATCTCGACTGCTATTTCTGAGTGATCTGTGTTATAGCATGAATTTGGGTTCTTTTGCTTGTCTTCTCGAATGAATTCCTGTATTCGATCCATTGAGACCTTTGTCTGAGTGATCACTGAAACGAGCTCTGGGAGATTGTAGATGGGTTCCTGAAGTATTCTAAAAGTGGCAAGAGCAGAGAGAACAGTACCTGGTGTCAATAGGATTTTGACTAGAATGCTGACACCGAAGGCGATGACCGAAACCAAAGTCGGAGATGCCCAGAAGAGAAAGGCGACTGCAGAACAAGTGTAAAGATACCTCTTCAACCAACCTCCTTCAACTTCTCTTAGACGAAGTATCTTAGACATGTAAACACTCTCCCATGAGTAAAGCTTTAGGATCCTAATACACTTTAACGTCTCTGATGTTGCCTTTATTCTGGCATCCTTGGCTTCCAAAATCTTGGAGTGAAGCTTCTTTTGAGATTCGGCCAGTGGGGTGTTGCTCACAATTATCATGATTGTTGTGAGGAGCGTGGAGAAAGATGCTGCAGCACCAAGATTCCTGTAAAGAATGACGAGAGCAAGAGTGACCTGAACAGGAAGCAGCCAGATGCCGTTGATGTACCAGAAGAAGTCTCCAATCCTTTCCACATCTACATCAAGAAAATTTATGATATTACCCCCGCTCATCTTTGAGTACTTGATCGTGAGAGCCTTTTTATAAAGGGACGCCATTAGTGCCGCTCGAACTCGAACACCAATTTGACGCGCTCCGAAGTACAAGTGCCTCTGAGACAGGGACTCCGCCATTTTGGCAAAGAAGAAAGTGAATGCAAGCATGTAGCCATGTACATGGCTACGCTTCTCATCCTCTTTGGATAGAAATTCAACAAAGTTTGTTATCAGGTAGAGGCACAGATACGAAGCTACTGTGTTGATGCCTGCAATAAACCATGAGCTTGTTTAGCACCTTATTTGTTGGATTGGACTGTAAACATGAAAACAGAAGGGAGGAAGTTGAGTACCAGCAAGAACAGCATTGAATACCAGAGGTCTCCATATAATATTCATAACAGCCCTACAAAGCGTCGAAATTTCTGGCTTCTCTCTCCGGAGCGATTCCTGAAGCATCGAGTATGCAGCTTCTGCTGTCTCTGAGTTGGGTAGCCGGGGAACATGGTGGATCTCCAATCTCTGAAACCAGCCCTTCTCAAAGAGAGGATTCAGCCATCGAAACGTTAGCTTGCTCCAGATTCCAGCATTGGACAAAGTTCGTGTCGAGGCATCTTCATTTTCATAATCATCAAGCAGTATAGGTTTCTCTAGCCCGCTGGAAACTCTAGGGATGTTCATACTAAAAGCACCAATACAGAGGAAGACGGATAAAGGAAAAGAAACAAAATCGGCAACAGTTGCAGCTGGCAAGAAGTTGGGTAATGCAAACAGCTTAAAATGCTTGGTGAGGTAAATGATTATGGAAAACAACTGGAACATTCCAGAGAGAGCCCACCAAGATACAAGAACACAGGGCCAGCCACTGCTCCCAGCCTTGGCTCTTCCCTTAATATAAATGGTGAAAAAGGTTGCAATAATCCAGGAAAGCGCGATGAAGAGAAGGTCCATGGGAATGGCTTCGATTTTCCAAGCCTTAAATGCGAAAGAACCAATGTATAGTGTAGAGATTAGAATGTTAGATAAAGCTACAATCTCAGACATGAAGCTGACTTCTTGTTTCACAAACAACCCCCTCCTTGATTTCGAGAAGTCTAAGAGCATCCATATTAGAAACACCATGAAAGGTAAAAAGTAGAATAAATCTGATGCACCGTCCATGGCCGCGAAAAAATGAACCTTGAGAACAGGGGACTGTTTTATTGTATGGGACGGAGGGGGGAGAAGGTGAAATGAGTTGTATTCTGATTCCATTCGTTGTTTACTAATGAGTGGCTTTCCCGAGCTATAAGGCGGCTTGGAAGCAGATGAGTGCTACGTGTCCTTGGCTAAAATTTTCACGTTCTCTCAGTCTCTCTCTCACAGCTAGGACAGATCCCAAACCTCACGTCCCTCCATTGGAAAGCTGACAATTTCCGGAATGATGTCATCATTTATGTGCTCATCGGGTATTCATGCGCGGGGGATCCGGGTGTGCTCATAATTTAAAACGAGAGATGGGAATTGATAGACAAATAAAAATGCGAGCTCTTAATGCGTAAATTCTGTAGATCGTGGTATGCCGGTTAACAATATAAAAATAGAGACAAGGGGGGGAGAAGCGAGAGATTTATATAGTTAAATTCTAGTGTTAAATATAGTGGTATTAATATAAAACTAGGGAGAAGAGCAGGAGGAGCGAGAGATTTATATTGTTAAATGACAAATTTCTAATGGCCTCTATTAAATTGAATTATAAATTAATAAAAAAATTCTGTATATAAATAGTAAAAGGAAAATCTAAATCAAACTAATCTTGATCTTTCATAGGAAAACTATTTAGTAAAGTATTAATCTTGAAGCAGTTTTTTTAACTGGAAACTTCCATAATTATATTTAAGTGTTTTGTCTTTCAATTTTAACAAATTTATTGTTAAATTTAACGATTTGATGAAACCAATTCCGTGAAATTATAAGTAATTTGATATGGATCTAAATGAGTCCAAATTAAACATTTAAAATATTGTTAGTGTTGAATCCCAATTTGGCTAGGAGGCCCACCCAAGTGATTAAAGCCTTCGAACAAAGCCAAAATGAGAGAGAGAGAAGAGAGGTGAGAAAAGACTTGCCACTTTGGTGCAAAATAGGGTATTCATGGGGTCTTGTTACCCTTTTTACATTATCAAATGTTTTTGATACATGGAGAGGATAAAAGATCTTAAAGTCCCTTCTTATACATGACAGAAGGGAGATGCATAAAATCTTATCACATGAAAAACCCATCAATTGAGAGGAGAGAGTGAGCAATGAAAGAAAATGACATTTTATAACTCCGCTTTTACAGGAGTGTACTGGTTATTCTATTATATAAACCTTTGTGGGCCCGACGTTTTGTCGTTTCCTAGCTCGGTTGACTAGGGTCGAGGTGGTGAATTGATCAATGTTGTTAGTCGGCCTTTTGGACGGAGACAGTCGGTCGGCTGGCCCTTTGGATATGAGCGACTGGGAGGATTCTTGGAGATAGTTGGGGAGATGGGTTCGTCTGGTGTATGTTGGTCAGCCCCAAGAGTTGAGTCGGTTGTCAATCCTTGATTCTTAGTAGTTAGTAGATTAATAGTTATACTTGAGCGATGATATCTTTCTTATTTTTGATAAAATGTATTGTATAGTATAACATTTATCTTGTTTGTCTGTTTGTGTTTGTGTTACAATTTTATAAGACTTGAAGAACATTTTTATATTCCAATGTTGATACATGTTATGCTAGTTAGACTTTTGTGTAGTTAATTTCATTCTAGCATGTTTAATTTAGATTTACTTTCTACTACATGTTTCCTATCCTGATAAATAACTGTAGATATTTTTGATAGACATTTGTGGTAGATAAAATTTCTAAATTGTTTTTCTTCCTACTTATATTTTCTGCACTAAATACTATACATGTTAAAAATCAAGTTTGGGGGTAGGAAGAAAATTAGATTTTAAAGTGAATATACTTTCTTTTAGTTTAATATTATTGCAAGCATGTTTAGGCTAGATTTACTTTCTCCAGCAGTCATTCTATCCTAATTATAAATATATATATAAATTTGATAGGATGTTGTAGTAGTCAAAAGATTTAACTTTTACTTTTTCTTCCTGCCACAATTTATGGAATATTTAAAAATGCAAGTTTGGGGGAAAAAAAATTTTCTTTTAAAAAGAAGTAAACTAAATTTTATTTGTACTCAATTAACCATATTTTTAAAATTAATTTAACATGACCTTGGATATTGGAGTTTAACTTTAAATGACTATATTTATGTTTGTAAATATTATGGTAAATTTAGGTAAAAATTTTTAATAATGAAGATTAATTCTAAAGTTAAAGATATTTGGTATGAAATAATTAGATTATGTTTTTCTACTTAAAAGTAAAGGAAATTATATTTTTGAAGTATTAAGAATTTTAGAGTCTCATGTAAAAAGAAAAGAATGAAATTTTATGAAAAATCATAAACTAATATGAATTTATAAAATGAAGAAATGTAAGGAGTTTTGATTTTAAGAAGAAGATAGTGAAGTTCAAAATTATTAAAGTCTATCCAAATAAAGTAATCATCATATGAAAAAAAAGAGAAAAAAAGAAAAAAAAGAGAAAAAGAAAAGAAAAATGAGTGAGGAGAAGCTTGAGGAGATGCTAAATAAAAAATTGGTTTCACTTGAATAAACTTAAAGAAAAGGCTTGATTACATTTTCTAAACTTGTATTAGAGTATTAGTAGCATTACTAGTAAAGTTTTCATGAAGTTCTTTTTTATATGAATTTTCTAAGTATCATTGATATGACAAATTGCAATTCTTTTGAAATGAATAGAGATTCAGAAATCTTAAATTTGATTGCTAAGTATTCTTAGACTTAGAGTTTGAATCTAAGTTATTTAAGGTTTTTCTTAAATTTTACTATTTTATTTATTAAACTAAAGTATAAAAGTTTATAAGTTAATTTCTATTCTAAGTTATATTTTTATGTAGTAAAAGAGTTACTTGAGGACAAGTAACATTTAAGTTTGGGTGATTTTGATACGCCTAAAAAATGTTCAATTTTTCTTATATTTTTAATGCCTATATTTGGCGATTTTCAATGATATTACACTTCAAAGGAAAATATTTTGTATATTTTTGGTTTCAGGTACAGAAAATGGATTTTTGGATAAAAAGAAGCAAAAATGATGCAATTTGGAGCAAAAACAAGCAAAAAAGAAAATTTTGCCCTCGCACATTTCGATATGTCTTTCTATGCTTAATCTCATTTACACTTCTCACACATTTTTTAATGAAATTAAACTTTAAAGAAAAGTTGTTTTTATGCTTATTTTTTTAGGTGTATATGTTAGAAACGCAACACAACTAAAATGGGGTGAAACGGAGCTAAAGCGGAGCCAAACGAAGCAAAATGGTGGAGCTGTGTAGGGTGGGAGCCGACAGCACCAGAGCCAACGCCGGCAGTGCCAAAGAGCAGAAAATTGTGCCAAAACGGCGCCAACAGCGCTCGAGACAGTTTGGAGGCGGTGTTCGGTGAAATTCTAGAAGATTCAATGTATTTGGACGCTTTTTGGAGGGTTGCTTGAGGCATCTCTTGGGAAATTCGTCCCTACACTACAATAGAGTGCTTTTATGTCAGAAAAACTGTGTGTGTGTGTGAGTGAAAAAAAATGGAGAATGTTTATAAATCTTAGAATAAGAGTAGAAATGTAGATTTCTACCTTTTTAGAGAGATTGGTAAGGGGATTTTGAGAGAACATTTAAGGGATTATTCTAGCATTGCATGAATCAACGGGAGACTTTGTGGGAGAGATTTTCATCTTTCTTTCAAGGGAAAAAATCTAAGTATTGTGTTCTTAATTATCTTATGATTTTGTAAACACTTATCTAGTGGATTTGCTTTGATTTAATGAAGTTTTTCATTGTGTTTTCTTCATGCTTTGTGGTGTGTTTCTCTTACTCTTTCTTTTTCTTTCTCTTTCTTTTTTTTTTGGAAATAGTGGCATGATTTTCCTTTTTTTTTCATTTACAATGAGTAGGATTCATGTTTAGAATATTGGAATGCATGCTAGAATAAGCTTTAATTATAAATTGTGATGGTTTTTCAACTCCGCTCTTAATTTAATTTTTAATCTGACAAATTGAATTGTTAAAATATGTTGTGAAACATATTATCCGAAAAATAGAGTATGAGTTCTACAATAGAGTGAGAATCACATTTAAGTCCATGAAGGAGTATTTCGTTCATGGGATTAAATGAAAATAAATAGGGAAATATACTTTATTTAATGTAGAATTGGAGATTTCTAGGGTGACAGACTAAAAATCCCCAATTCGATCTTAGTGTTTAAAAATTAAAGCGAGAATTAGCCTTGAGGGGAAGGGGAGTGATAGCTCTGGAGTGGGAGACGATATCCTCCTAGCCCAGGCTTAGCCATAGATTTAGAGACTAAACCTAAGATTAGCCAATGATTTTTTATAATACTGAATCAGGGTAAAGAATTTAAATTGCTCCTTTTTGGCACAATAAATATTTAAACTATTTATCTCATCTCATTTCACCAAAAACTTGTAGTGGAAAAGATGCTTTTTCACATTAGAAAACTTCATCACATAAACATAGTTTAGTAGTTATAATTTTAAAACATGTTTTTAAATTCTGCTAGTAGTAAATAAGTTAGCTTTGATAATATCTTAAACTTTCAAAATTAATGACAATAATTAATCGACATTCCAAACTAAGCACTAATAGTAGTAGACTGGAATTTGACTAAGGACATCTTTCCTCGCTTCCTCGCTTCCTCGTGGGATTGATATTTGGGGCTTAATCAGAAAGTCCTATATTACTTGAGCGATACATATACATGTGTTTATATCATTGTGACTGTGTAGAATATATAAGATTAAGCATATAAAAAAGCCGCATCAAGTTTTTGGCGCTGTTGCCTGGGATAACTACTAATCTACCATGTATAACATTTATCTTGAGCGATGATATTTTGCGATAAAACACCATAAAGAAAGAAGTCCTTAAACTGGAATTTAACTAAGGACATCTTTCCTCGCTTCCTCGTGGGATCGATATTTGGGGCTTAATCAGAAAGTCCTATATTACTTGAGCGATACGTATACTTGTGTTTATATCATTGTGACTGTATAAAATATATAAAATTAAACATATAAAAAAGATGCATCAAGTTTTTGGCGCCGTTGCCGTGGATAACTACTAATCTATTAACTATGTATAACTTTTGTCTTGAGCGATAGAACACCATTTTAATCTTTAAGTCTTATAAAAAATAAGAAATTCCTATACTACTTGAGCGATACATTTTCATACTTCACCACTATACTACCACTGTAGTTGTAGTATAGTGGTGGTATTCCCGCCCGGCACGCAGGTGACC